CAACTTAGCGGAGAACCATTTCCTATTGATGAAGAATTTTAAACTACTGAATGTGTGTGGGGAGGAAATGAGACCATCTAGCTATCAGGGTTGGAGGCATTTCAGTCTTTAACTTTTTAAAGTCTGGCTTTGAATCCCTGCATTCTCTGCCATATGACAGGCTCTTCATCATAAACCCAGACGTGGCAGGTTCGTGCTGCCGAATGCTTCCATGTAGTTGCAGACAAAGGAAAATGTAACTCTGCTTCTTCTTCTTTTTTAAATAGAAGTGTTTGGAAAGCTTCCGATTTCTTCATAACTCTAAAGACTAGAACTTGAGGTGTTTTTTCTTTTGTTTTGTTTTAATGAATGTAGAAAAGTGGGAAATGGTCAAACCCATGTCCATCCGGATTTGAACGTCTCAAGTTTGTAGGTATGCATCAGAGGCGCTCTGCCAGTTAGCTGCTGTGATGAGCGTCCCTTTTTGTTTCCTGTTCGGAATAAAATTATTGTTCTGTCTGCAAAGAAGCCAAACAAAAAGGGGCACTCGGTGAGCTTTGCACTGGAATGAGACAATTCTGAATTTTCAAAAGGAGTTGGCTTGTATTTTCAAAAGGGAGACTCAACGTCTGTTGGGGTTTAGGGGCGAAGGGGTTCTCGTCTCTTTCCCGGCAAGCCCAAGCATTCTTTGGAGGAAAACGTAACCCCTAGTGAACCTGATTGAGAGGTCTGTCCTTCATAGGACAACTTAAAACAATGTGTAGACCACCATGCTTGAAGGTCAAGTTTGTTCCCCTGTTTGATCTTGGTTGATTAGTTCATTTTTTTTTGGCAGTGGGTGGGTACGATGATGTCTGACAGACACAGATCTTGAAAACATGCCAGAAACTTTCATGCCAGAACCTCCTTCGTTGTCAGAATTAACTATAGAAACTTCTCCACCAACTAAGAACAGTCATGCATCTGGGATTTCCCCTAATCATCGTCGTTGTCATCATGCACTGTCAAGTTAATTCTGATTTAAGGTGACCCTTTTTCAGCGTTTTCCAAATAGAGAATACCCAGAAGTGGTTTAACCTTCTCTACATCCCGGGGTGTCTTGGGACTGTGCAGGTTTGCCCAAGGTTACCCAGGCTGTCTCTTCTCCTGGGAGGAAGAGCAGCCAATCGAAGACCACACCTCTGGCTCCACAGCCAGAGACATAAACCACTAAGCTATCCAGCCATCTATCCACTGAACTTTACAGTGGGGTCTCTACTTAAGAACGTCTCTACTTAAGAACAATCCAACTTAAGAACAGCTCCATTTGCTAAATTTTGCTTCTACTTGAGAACAGAAATCCAAGATAAGAACAGGAAAAAAAAACTTTCCTGCTCTTTTTTTAACCTTAGGTCATCTTAGGTTAAAAAAAAA